GTTCTCAAGCTTATAAAAGATTGAGGGCTGTTAGAAATGCAAATGAGAGATCAAGTGAATCTTCAAATGAGAATTCAGAAGACTCTTCTTCTGAAGGTGAACCTGATGCACATATGCAAGAATTAATTATTCCTGCTGCTCATCATGTGTCAGACAGTTCCGAGCCAGACGAAGCTAATGTAGTGATTGATAATGCAGCAAATGCACCTGCAAATAATATTAATGAGGAGCTAGTTGTGGGAGTGAATGAATCAGCAGATGAGAATATTTACAGTGAGGGAGGTGCAAATGTTGTTGTAGATAACCTTGAGGGAGATAGTTCTACTTCATCTGATAAAGAAAATTTACATTTTCGAACTGAAATTGCTAAATTTGTTGTAAAAAATGTTTTGTCAAGAAATGCAACACAGGACTTGTTACGTGTTTTAAGACGACATGATTGTCATCTTAGTTTGCCACGAACTCGTGGCGCTCTTGTTCAAACACCTCGAGAAAGAGTAGTGCTACGTGATGTGCCACCTGGCAAATATTACCATTTCGGATTGAGAAAAGGTTTAGTTAACTCTTTAAAACTTACTCATGAAGACCTAGCACTTAAGGAAATCATAAAAGTAACATTTAATATCGATGGAGTTAGCATTTCTAAAAGTTGTAGCAGTCAGTTTGTTAGCATTCTTGGAAAAATCAATAATATTCAAGCTGTACCAGTTTTTAAAGTAGGAGTTTATCATGGATACAGTAAACCTGATAGTGCGGCATTATTTTTACAAGATTTTGTTGAAGAAAGTTATGATCTTTGTACTAATGGGCTGTTTTACAACAACAAACACTTTATAGTGAGAATAAACTGTTTTGTTTGTGATCTGCCTGCAAAAGCTTTTATACTTCAAGTTAGAGGTCACAACTTCACCAAAGGTTGTGGAAAATGTCAAGTTGTAGGATTTAGTAATAATCGTAGGATGTGTTTTTTGGATAACAATGCAGAGGAACGTACTGATGAAAGTATAAGACAGAAACATGATGATCAATATAACATTTCAGACTGTCCTTTGATAAGAATCCCATTTCTTGATCTTGTAAAAATGTTTCCTATCGATCCACTCCACCAGCTTTATATTGGAGCATGCAAGAAAATTCTTAAAATGTTATTTGGAAATAAACCTTCACCACATAGGTTGCACAGAAGATTCATCACAAGAGCAACTATGGAATGTGGGCGAATCAAGAGATACATTCCTATGGAATTTCAAAGAAAGCCACGGGAAGTGGAGTCTGTTGGTTCATTCAAGGCAACAGAATGTCGTTTTTTTTTATTATACACTGGTCCTGTCATTCTTAAATGTATTTTAGATGGAAGTAGAAAAAACAAGGATATTTACGATCACTTTGTTGGCTTACATGTAGCTAGCCAGATGTTGAGTCGTGAAGCAACTGCTGCAGATCTTGCATATTGTGATATGCTTTATCGAAATTTTACAAATGATTTTCCAGCAGTATATGCTGCTGAGTTTGTGAGCCAAAACATACATTCACTGATTCATTTAGCAGGTGATGCAGAAACATACGGGAGGTTAGAAAACTTTTCTGCGTTTCAATATGAAAATGAAAATGGCGCTATAAGAAAGCTATTAAAAGAATCTCCAAGACCACTTCAGCAGTTAGTCAAACGTCACCAAGAATTATTACTCAACTTTCCACCAGTAAAAAAAAGACCATTCAATAAAGTGAAGTTTGTGAAACTTCACAAAAATGGATCACTAGTTGAAGGTGTAACAGGATCACAATTTCAAGAAGCACAATTTGAAGGATTCAAATTGACTATAAGAGAGCCAGATAATTGCTTTACAACTAACACTGGGGATGTTTGCTTAGCTATGAATTTTGTAAAGAACTTGCTTACAGGAGACAAAGTAATAATATCTATGATCTATTCAAACAAAATAGATCTCTATACATATCCTCGTAGATCATCCTCTTTGGGAATTCACATTGTTCAAGATTGCAGTAACAGAATTGTTGTACCTATAATAGCTGTAAAATGCAAATGTGTAAGGGTACCATACGATGATGCTACATTAGCTGTTTTCCCAATGGCCCACTGCAATTAAGTAAGAAAACTTTTAATACTACTCAAATTTTGTTCAGAGCTACTATATAAATATATGTACATAATGCATTCACTATAAGTAACAAACTTATTGGTATTGAAATTAAAGAGAATAAAAAGGTAGATAAAAGTTGTGTACATGTAAAATATATATAATCAGTACCTTCATGGTTGTCCGGGGACACAAGACAACTCGTTTTCTCAAATGGCGACCTGGTAACTTATGACTTGGGGTAGCCCGGTGGGGCAACCAGACAGTTTGTTACTTACAAAAAAGTGTTTTTGCAGTATTAGGAATATTTCTTGTGGTTGTTCTTGGGAATTTTATAGAAATTGCCTCTGAAAACTCTAAAAAAACACATTTAAAAAAAAAGTCGTTGGTTTTTGGGAATTTTAAATCCATCAGCTATTCTGCATTATACGCGGCGCCATTGGGCTAGCTAACCATTATTTAGTATTATATAGTATATTAGACAACCCTCGCCATTAAGTAAATTTAGGTCAGCAATAAATTGCCAACATTCGACTATTTTAGATTGACATCAGATCAGCAAAAAAAAAAAAATTACAAAGGTTTTACCATAAAATATAGAAAAGATGTCAGCGCAAAATCATCTCAGACACTTTAAGGTCGGCAGTAAGTCAACAGTGCCAAATGCCGAATCTAATTCCGAAGCCTGTATATATATATTTTTATTTTTTAGCAACATTGAAACTGAATCTGAATAACTTTTTATGTATAGTATAATTATTATTATTTAAAAGATAAAAAATGTGATTGTGTTTTTGTTATTTTCTTTAGTTATGCTATGGAGTATTTCGTTTTAAAGACCCTGCACCCCACACTGAGGTCATTTTAATGTCTTGGCTTAAAAATGAATTAACTGCATCATATCCTGTATCTTCTTCGTATCTTATTATAAATAAATTATTAAAAAATAAAACTGAAGCTTTCAATAAAGTAGAGTGGACACATGGACAGTGGAAAAGCTATGATGGACAAATACTTAAAAAAAACCGTAAGTAAAAAGAAAAAATTTTTTGCTATTAAAAATTTCTTTTTTTAGTTAAAAAACTAGTTATTTTTAATCATATATTATATCACAATGTTATGACTAATTAAAATTATTTTATGACGTGCTTAGCTAAAAATGTGACCAGTGTGTAAGCCTTCCCAGGAGTGCAGTTTTTCCTCTTGTTTGTCCACACTTTAGTTTTTTATTTAGCCAACTTGATCCCGTTGTCAAGTTTTATTATATTAAGCGTTTTAATACTTTGCGTCAAAAAATAAGTTTTAAAAACAACGAAAGCAAAACTAACAAAATATAATCAAAAGTTTGAACTTTAATGCATGTAATTTTATTTATCTCTATAGGTATGTAAAATTTAATTTTAAAACTATTTCTATAATCAATTTTATTTAAATTTTTTTAATTCAAAAACTTTTAAGTAAACTTTCACTAAAACCTGTTTGGCTTAAATTTTTTCTTTAATGAATGCAACAAATGTTTTTTTTAATTACTATTATTATTTTCATCTACAATCAGTTATATATATTTATATTATTTTTTACTAACTCTTAAATTTTTTTTACTAACTTTAATTGTTTACAACTATTTATGTTGTTTTTATTAACAGCAAGGACTTTGTTCAATACATTGATTAAAACGCTTAAATATTTCAATTCGAAGTTGCTTTAATAGTTTAAGCAAGTCACTGATTCTATTTTTTGCAGCAATTGGAAGACTTTAAAGCAAAAAACATTAACGCAAAAAAGTTTGCTTTAATGACTTTCTATAAAAGAAGATAAAATCTTTTTTGTAAATGACTTTTTACCAAAGACATTTTATGAAAATCTTAAAAAAAAAAGTTTATTAAAGTTTATTTTGTAAGCTTATTATTTTTTAATCGTACTTTAAGACTTCTATTTTTTTAGTTTATTTTTTAATTTTTCCTTTAGTTTAGTTAGATTTTCAGTTAGTTGTTTAGTTTAGTCAGATTTTAGTTAGATTTTCAGGGCATTTTTGAAACGTGCCATTTTTTAATTTAAAAAATTCTAGTCAAGTTGTCAACAAATAAAACTATGCGTGGACAAGCATAAAAAAACAACGCAGGCGTTACCTGGGAAGGCTTAGTGTTTATACTATATATACCAAATTATTATGTCATTATGTGATTCTTATATTTCAGTATCATTGGTTGTGGCTCGTGAAAAAGCTAAGGCTGACAGATTGGAAGGTTTTGAAGGAAACCTGACAACAGATAATGAAGTAGTAATGCCTAAAAGGAAAAGAAAATTAAACAAAACCTATAATGATTTTATTGTTGATAATTTAACATCAGAAGAGGAAGCTGAAGTGAGTGGTTTATCTAAAGCTCCGACCTCTCCCGGCACAGTGTATCGTCAAAAACAATTTGATAATCTCAGAGCATTTGAATTAAAAGGTATAAAATACTGCCTCAGACTTTGTTTTAAAGCATTAGGCGTAGATCGATATACATACGCCTTAAAGGGATCCCAAACCCCCCAGACATGTTGTGTTCATATTAAAGAGAATGTTTAAAAAGGTTGGAGATAAATTTTTTTGAATAAAACAATAGAATAAATGCATATCAAGAAAAACAAATTTTGTTATTTTACTCGAAGCTTGTCTTTTCTCTCTAAGCTATTTTTCTTAGTATGAACAATATGCGCTGCAATCTACAGACTTGATCATTTATTTGAGCGCGTTTTATAGTACATGAAGTTATTGAAGTACTAAAACTCTAAGGAATAAAACATACTCGAATAAATTATCAAGTCTGTAGATTGTGGCGTATATTGTACAGACTAAAAAAAATAATTTAAAGAGAAAAGACGAGCTTTGAGTAAAATAACAAAATTTGTTTTTCTTGGATGCATTTATTCCATCGTTTTATTTAAAAAAAAAATTTGTCTCCGACCTTTTTTTTTAACATATCCTTTTATATGAACACAACATGTCTGGGGGGTTTGTGATCCTTTTAAGAGATTTTACATGAGCAGTAAGCGATTTTGGTTAAGTGATTTTTTAAATCTTTTAAATCGGTTTGATAAAATAAATTATTAACGTTTTAAAAACTGCGCAAAAGTGAATGGCTATTATGTAAAAAGGTTTGTTACAAATATTTGAATGACAAATACGTTAAATATATTGTTGTAACTTTTTTTAACTATGTTTATTTTAACTTTTTTTAACGATTGTATTTAGCATAATTTTATGCTAAAATTATATATATTTTTAATATTATTTAACATATGGTTGAGCTACAGTATCAGTTAATTCAGTTAACAATAGTAAGTTTTATTTAAGTAACAAAAATAACAAAATGCTACAAAAATATAAACGAATTTATAAATTTAAGAAAAAAAAGTATTATTTTTCTTCATAATTCTGTATCTTTTTGATTTTTTTAAATGTAAACATTTATACGAGTTATATTATATTATTCCTCGCAAACGCATTCCAACCAAACAAAACCAATTAAAAATGTGCACAAAACAATAATACTTATAAACCTAAATTAGTTACACTATTAAAATAATTATCTGGGGTTATTATTTAGCAATATGTAAAATCTCATTTCATTAACTAGGTATTGTTGCAAAGATTTACACTAGATATAAATGTTTTTTGTGCAGGTAAAAGAAGTAATAAGGATATACCAGAATATACCAAACAGGCTAAACAACGTTACAGCAACAGCAGCAGTTCCACAGTTTCAGGAGAACTAAGTAAATACATAAATATATATACATATATATACAGCCTTCGGAATTAGGGTTGGCATTCTGCAATGCTGACCTAACTGTTGACCTTGTTTTGTTAAGGTCAGCGATTTTTTGCCAATCTCGTTTTTACTTTTTGTTTTAAAACCTTTTTAAATAATTTTTTGCTGACCTAATGCAGTTTAAGGTCAGTAATTTTTTGCAAACTTTAGTTTTTCTAATTCCGAGGGTTGTATATATATATATATTGTATATTTTATACCATTGTATTTAATTGAAGAGATCAAGTATGAATGTTATTGCCCAGTTATCAGTTTGACTTAATGATTAGGTTGTTCCAAAATGTCCGATATTAAAATAAGGCTTTTGTTAAAATTTAAGGTGACAATCCTGACAGCTTTCCACCATCCTTTACGTTGTCATCCCAGGCAATGAAGACAGGAAGTGCAGAGAGAAAGGAATCAGATAATGTAATAAGTAATGGTACAGCTATAAATAATCAGAACATTACTACCCCAAATAAGAAAGGCTTAGATTTTTATGGCTTTCAAGAGTCTGGACAATATTCTCATGAAAGTAAGTTTAAATTGTTCATTCTTATTCTCTAGGACTAAATCCATGTTTTTTTAGTTTTTTTTTGCAAATTTATTTTATATTTATTTATACAACAATTTTATGAGACAATGTAAAGTACACAGCACTATACATTATTAGTAAATACTTATTAAATGTTTTTTTTTGCAATTTTGTTTACTTTTGTTTTTTAATCAGGTGGTGTCAATCAAAATTATAATGATTCAAGTCTCATTTCCCCTCCTAAGCAATACTCCTAAGCAATACTCCTAAGCAATATATATATATATATATATATATATATATACATATATATATATATATATATATATATATATATATATATATATATATGTATATATATAGATATATATACATATATATATATATATATATATATATATATATATATATATATATATATATATATATATATATATATATATATATATATATATATAAATAAATATATATATATATATATATATATATATATATATATATATATATATATATATATATATATATATATATATATATATATGTATATATATATATATATATATATATGTATATATATATATATATATATATATGTATATATATATATATATACATATAAATATATATATATATATATATATATATATATATATATATATATATATATATATATATATATATATATATATATATATATATATATATATATATATAGATAGATAGATAGATAGATAGATAGATAGATGTTGATATAGATATATATAGATATACTATGTTGTTATAAGACTAATGAAAATGCACTGAAAAAATAACGATAGAAAATTCTAAAGCATTATCAAAATAACTATTTATGTGTAGAATATATTGGGATATAGATTATTCAGTGCCTGTTATTTGATAGTGCTGCACTATACATTAGTACTACCTACCTATGCAATATTATTTTACGATTTTGTTTCTTTTATTACCTTGTTACTCTTTTTACTCAGGTTGTGTCAATGGAAATTATGATGTTTCCAGTCAAATTTCTTTTCCTAAGCAATACTATGACATGGATCACAGCGGTGGTTCCAAGAGCAAGGGGATACTTTCTGGTTCCAAGCGCAGTGTAGGTTCCAGTGCAGCTCATTGTTCAGTCAGAACCTTGTCAGAATCTGATAACTCTAGAATAAGAGGTGATAGCTATCTAAATACTCATAATTCTGACCAAGTATTACAAGACTCTAGAGCAAGTTCTCATGAAAGTAAGTTTAAATTATTCGTTCTTATTCTCTAGGACAGAGCTTGTTGAATTTAAAGTATATATATATATATATATATATATATATATATAATATATATATATATATATATATATATATATATATATATATATATATATATATATATATATATATATATATATATAAAGAGGGAGAGAGAGAGATTTTTAAGAATTTATTATTGTTATTTTTTCAGTGCATTTTTATTAGTCTCATAACAGCACATAACATAAAGTACAACACATCGACTGATTTAAGGAGAACTCGCAATGGAGTTGCTAACACAACGAAGGGTCATGGTTAGGGCAGGGATCAATTTATTTTCATTATTCTTCCTTATCCCTCTACTTCTTCAATACTTGCTCACTAAAAGATAGTGAGCAGTTTTTATATCCTTTTGCTCACCTTTATCAGCAAGAAGAAGTTTAAATATATATAGATATAGATATACTATGATGTTATGAGACTAATGAAAATGCACTGAAAAAATAACAATAATAAATTCTTAAGCATTTCTCATAATAACTATTTATGTGTAGAATATATTGTGATATAGATTATTCAGTGCCTGTTATTCGATAGTGCTGCACTATACATTAGTAGTACACACTGACTAATTAGTTTTTTACAATTTTTTTAATTCTTTTAATGCTTTGTTACTCTTTCAAATCAGGTCATGCCCTTAGCAATTATGGAGATTTTATTCACATCTCCCCTCCTAAGCCATACACTGACATGGGTTACAGTGATGGTTCCCTGAGTAAGAGAATATTGTCTTGGACACCGACGGAATCATTTCAAATTCCTGAAAATAAACATTTAAAGAGAGGCAGAGATATGTCAGTGCCAGGTATGTTTTTTGCAATTCTGCAGTACCTGTTATAATTATGTTATATTTATTGCATCTGTCCTTTAAATTAATTTGCTTTAATATTAGTTGTTGCATTTTTTAACCAGAAAAGATTTATATATATATATACAAAAATAATTACAGTATTACTACAATTATTTTTCTAATTTTATATTAGTTATCTAAATTTTAGTGTAGATTGTTATAAAACAAAATAACACTTTTACAGATTTTCAAGATTTTGTATATACTTCGTTAATGCAAATACAAGATGCGCTAGGTTTATCCAATGTTTTTAAAAAGAAAACTAAACTTAAATAACATATCTGATGAGGAGATCAATTGTGTCAAGCCTGTTCATCCACCTAACGATGTTTACCTTGGCCAAATTCCAATGTGTACAGTCTCTCAGATTAAAGACTTGGATGATAAACTTGAGAATGATACATTTAATAGTAAATGGGTGAGTCATGAATAAAGTAGTAATTGTCTGAATTCATAGAACTGTTAATACTTGTGCTAATGTCACCTTTTTTTTCTAGAAAAAGGCGCTAATTAAGAATTTTGGTGCAGAGTACCTCCGGGGACTAGGACATGGCTGCTGGTCGCAAGATCATGTAGGCTTTGTTCAGTGATGATCTGCGCATTAATATGTGTTATACCGGAAGAGTTAGCGGTAGTGTCGCTCTTTTAAAGACAAGAATCTGCCCAGCAATCTTTGGTAACTAGCATTATTTTATTTTAATGTTTTAGCACTGAATAAGTTCTATTATACTTTTCTGTAATTATTTTTAATGCAAATATAATAATAAATATATTAAATGCCTAAATTTTTGTGTTTGCAGGTGTCATGGCAAAAATCGGGTTTTTGGACGAAGAACTCGTTAAGAAGTCATTGCAGAAATCTTTGTATAATGCAAACGACAAGAATACTCATTCTAAGTCGAAACAAAAATAAAAATGACATTAAATTATTTTCAGCGTATAACTTTCCAAAATGTGATATTTATGTTTATTTCTTACTTATTATATTTAGTGTTTGTTTATTTTATTAATTTAGTTTTACTTATTTAACACTACGTGAATAATTCCATTAATTAAAAAACAACAAAACTTTGTCTTTGTAAATACTATTTAAATAAAAAAAACTTTTAGACTAGGTAAATTTAGCAAAACTCTGCATAAATTTGTTTATATTTATTTTTAATTATTTTATTTTTAATAAAGTCTTATAGTATGTATAAATTAATATTTTAATTTTGTTTTTTATTAAACAATTCAATTTTAATGTAAGTTTATTATGTAATAAATTGTATACTTTGAATAAATGATTTTTTTATATTGTTTATCAAGTTCTAACCACTCCATTCATTAATCCTTATTACCTCAGATAAATTTAAGTGCTAAATCAGTTAAATAAGAGTGATTACCTCATTATATAAGAGTGTAGAAGTTTT